CCTCCTCCTCCTCCTCCTCCTCCTCCTCCTCCTCCTCCTCCTCCTCCTCCTCCTCCTCCTCCTCCTCCTCCTCCTCCTCCTCCTCCTCCTCCTCCTTCTTCTTCTTTTTCTTCTTCTTCTTCTTCTATGAGCTCTCCAAACCCACTTTGAGAAGACGGTCAAAGGCGTGAGACCGAAACCGGGAATTCCCGTAAACATACTTAATGCATAACTGAACACAAAATATCCTTCGTCGAAATCTGCACTCCGCAGTGAATATCAAAGAGTCTACATAACAAGAGGGGCCACTTCTCTCTTTGAGCCAATTAAAAAAGTGTCCTCAAAATTCGGTGGCGCCCTCTTCGCAAAAGCGCACCTTTTGCAAACAGAGTTATCCTACTTGAGTTTTAAAAAATCAAAGTGAAACTAGCAAGTTTTTGAATGAATTTCGGAAGAACGCTTTTATAAAATGATTACGCTGACAAAAAACATCTTCCGGAGGAAAGGGTGATTGTTTTCTTCGTTTAATTTGACTTTAGAATGAAAGGCGAGAGGTTATTAAATTTTAAAAACCTAAAACTCCGCACTGGACGAACCCGAACTGCTGATGAACAGCAGTCGATCTGCGCACGCAAGGAGGTGCTATTCCTATTCTTCTTCTAGAAAAACGAAAGAGAGCTTCAAAACAGACTGCAGCGCCATCTGAAGCAAAGAGCGAACTTCCGGCGGACACTTTTTTGGCTGAGTGGCCCATCTTGTTATTTATTATCTTTGGTGAATATACAATGTCGAAGCAAATGATGACGTTCGCTACAAAAAGACGAAATTTAACTTAAAATGGGCTTTCTTATTACACATTTGATCTTAATTAAAATACAATAGTGCAACACTACGTTTCAAGTTATGGGTACTGGCAAAGTTTCAAACTTTTTCATCTGGTAGTTTCTGAGAATATACTGTTCGCAAAATTTGGCCTTAGCTCCATTAGTAGTAAGATTATTATTAATTGCACTTTGCTTGAACTTTCAATCAATTTTTCCATGTTACTAACGTCTGATGACGCTGACATCTCTTAAGTTTAATGTTGGAATTTTTGTTTTGCCCCTCTTTATATAGATCTAGTTCCTAATAACACAATTGAGACCAATTTAAATCTTAGCTCACAGAACAGATGAGAGAATCAGAGCATTATTCAGAAATGATAGTTTGTTGATTCGTACTCAAGTTATGAGAATAAACACACAAAAACAATAAATGATATACATTATCAAGTACATGTAGTATAGGCCTACTTAACAACTTAACAATAACAACAGCATCAGCAGCATCAGCAGCATCAGCAGCAGCAGCAGCAGCAGCAGCAGCAGCAGCAGCATCAGCAGCAACAGCAGCAGCAGCATCACCAGCAGCAGCAGCAGCAGCAGCACCACCAACAGTGGTAATAACAACAAAGGCAGGAATAACAGAGGCACCAGGTTTATTTTTTTCATCTCTTAAGTTTAATGTTGGGGGGGGGGCGGGGCTCTCGTGGCCTAGAGGTTAAGGTGTTGGCCTCTCATTCAAAGGTCCCGGGTTCGATTCCGGGTAGCGACCAAAAAATTTTCTTCTCTAAAATTGTCTCCTTTCACATCCTTTCCTGATCTCTAACAATGTTCTGTTGTCTGCTTTCATTTCCACTTTCTGCCCCCACCCCCTCACCTCCTTTCCCCCCTCCTCTGGGCTCCTGACTCTTTCTGCAGCCTTTATACTGCTACTCCTTGGCTCCTCCTAACTGCTTTCTTTCTGATAGGAAAGATCTACACCTAGCCTTCTCGGACAAGGGCGAAACATCTCGGAGGGCCCGTGTGCAAGTTGTACACGTTAAAGATCCCTTGGTGGTCTAAAATCGATAAGAGTAGGCTTCGGCCGCCACCCGGGCAAAATTCAAAATTTCCTACCAACGAAAAAGTATTAGGTGTGTCCCGCGCGCTCATATGACCTTATGCAGTTGCGAGCGCCGTAAAACCCTATACTAAACAAACAACAAACAAGTTATCACGGACTCGAGCTAAGGAAATAACTAACCTTTGGCGGCCATTTTCTCACTAATTTTACCTCTGAAAACAAGTGACCCCCACCTCCTTCTTTAGTAAATATATCGACTTGTATTCAAGATAAATGGATACTTTTTTCATCCTAATAAAGACAAGTGAACAAGCTTTAAGATGATACCAATAACTCTACATGCCCAAAAATTGACGAGAGCCTGATTCCACCACGCTGCCTCACATATGACCATACGGTCAAAGGTCAAAATAAAAAGACATACATAAAGCAAATGGCTAAACAGAACTCTCTCAGTGACCCGTCTCGGCACATCACCCAGGACTCAGTTTTTTTCTTTATTACTTTCTCTCGTTCTGTCTTTAATTCTTTCTTTTCATCTGAGATAACATCCGTACACCTAAACAATATTATGCAAATGCTAAAATACATACAGGTACAAACACAAACACACACACACACAAACACACACACACACACACTCACACACACTCTCACACACACACACACACACTCACACACACACACACACACACACACACACACACACACACACAGATACACACACATTACAACAAACACGAACACACAATACTTGTTTTTTTTAAATACCTTTTTCACCTTTTGTTGTCGTTGAACGTCGATGAGAGGTGCAGTTTATTATGGCAGGTCAACTTTAAAACAATTTCAAATGAGATACTGTAGTTTTTCAGTGTTCCCTTATCTCTCTCAATATTATCTTTTGCATTACATACCGTTACGTCTTCCTTTGTAGCTTGAGTACTTGGTATTATCGGAACACGACATGAGTCAGCTGACTGTGATCTCCATGACGCCGAAAGACTTGGCATGTTAAACTCCATTTTAAAATAAGATAAGTTAAGATAAAGTACATCTTTATTGTCCTGATCCTGTCACATCGGTTGATGATTTACCACGCGCACGCACACACACACACACACACACACACACACACACACACACACACACACACATACACATACACCCATAAATACACACATATACACACACACACACACACACACACACACACACACATGCGTACGCGCATGTGCACACCCTTACAATAGTATGCTTGCACTCACAAACAGGCTCACAGTCACGTGCATGATGTAAATAAACAGTAATTGTAAACGATAATTGTGCCAAGCTATATACGTGCTCGGTATTCTTATTGCAACCAAAGAGTCTACATAACAAGAGGGGCCACTCCTCTCTTTGAGACAATTAAAAAAGTATGCTCAAATTTCGGTGGCGCCCTCTTCGCAAATGCGTACCCTTTGCGAACAGAGTTACCCTACTTGAGTTTAAAAAATCAAAGTGAAACTAGCAAGTTTTTGGATAAATTTCGGAAGAACGCTTTTTTAAAATGGTTACGCTGCTAAAAAGTTCTTCCGGAGGAAACGGTGATTGTTTTCTTCGTTTAATTTGACTTAAGAATGGAAGGCGATAGGTCATTGAAATAAAAAAAACCCTAAAACTCCGCACTGAACGAACCGGAACTGCTGATGAACAGCAGTCGATCTGCACACGCAAGGAGGTGCTATTCCTATTCTTCTTCAGAAAAAACGAAAGAGAGCTTCAAAACAGACTGTAGCGCCATCTGAAGCAAAGAGCAGACTTCGGGCGGACACTTTTTTGGCTGAGTGGCCCATCTTGTTATGTACCATCTTTGTTGCACTCAATGGTGTTCTGAATATATGCACAGAGCGAAGTAAACAAATCTGGTCGCCGCTGAGTAGCGCTTTTTGTTTCTTTTTTTTTTTCTTAGCACCATCCGCAGGACTTTTGTTCCCGTTGAGTTTGTTACAGGTCATCAACAGGACAGACTTTATCCCAGAAAGTCAGTTTCTCCACTTGGAAAGGAGCCTTGATGAAAGGTGTGTCGCCAAAGCTCAGGTAAGTTTTCTTCTTCAGGTCCCAAGTAGGCCATATGTCCAGGTCTTCGTGAGACTTGAAAAGTTCTCCAGCTGGGTTCAGGCTTCAAGAACAAGAAAAACATTCATTTTTGGGTTAAATATTGTGTTTGTTTGTTTGTTTATTTGTTTGTCTATTTTTTTTTTGTTGGGGGTGTTTTTATTTTTTTGTTTTTTAGTTTGTTTGTATGTATGTTTTCTGTTGTTTTTTTGTGGGGAGGGAGTCGTAATTGCAATTCATCGGAATTAGCTAAAACTGAAATTTGATGGAATTCTGATTCCTCTTCTGGATTTTTCTTATTTTCTTTCGGTTAATTGCTCTTTTTTTTATTACCCATGTTCGTTAACACGGACTAAACTGTCATAGAGTTTCACCTTCATCGCCAAAATTTTGATCATTTAACTCCCCGGGGCAGTGCCACTGTCTGAAGTGGGAAATTCGAATGTTAATATTTTAGCATTTTAAAGTCGAACAGTTAACCAACCGTGCAGTGAACTGTTGCGAATGCAACCAACTTGTGTTTCGCGCGCCCATACGACCTTATGCAGTTGCGTGCGCCGTAAAACCCTATACTAAACTATACTGACTGAAGTGTCTTTAGGCCATTCCCAAAGGGGGGACATTTCTCGTTCAAGCATAGTAGAATTGTAAATGAGGTGACTCAAGTCACGCTCATAACTTTGCCTGATCTACAACAGGGAACTGCTGCTTTTTCTTTCCTGATCCTTACTTTTGTCATTTTCCTTTACTTCTTTTCCATGTTTGTCACTCTCTTGTGACCTGCTATTTTGAGGTGCCGCGATAGTCGAAGCAGACCTTGTGCTGTTGAAGCTAGAGAGGTGAGCAGTCTGAGTCTGATTCCCCGTACAGACTTCTCTGTTGACACCCACCCCTTGGCGCTCATATGACCGTATGCAGTTGCAAGCGCCGTAAAACCCTCTACTATAAAAACAAATAGATCATTTAGGGGACAGCATGCTTCGACCCTGCCAGCCATCCATGGCCAACAGAGCTGAGAGGGAGACACGCCACAGCAGACAGACACGCGTGTACATGGAAAAAGAAACATAAACTTTCCCATATGAAAGTTAACCCACATCATCTGCTTTCAACGGCAAGGCGTCTAACTGTTACACGGCAAGTGCAGGTATATATATATTTTTCAATTATATAAGTGTACAATGGGCGTCTAACCGTTACACCGCAAGCACTAGTATATGTTTTTGTCAATTTTATAAGTGTACAATAAACGGTAGGTCCATGTCACTATGTTCTATGAGAAGTAATGCACTGTAACAGAAAACTTTGAAATGTCACTTGCTTAAATGTTAAATACAGTCTTTTTGCTTTTTCTTTTCTATCCTCGTGGAAAAAATAGCAGCCAAAACGTATGTCTTTATCGATAATAAAGGATTGCTCCGGATATTTTTTTCAAAGGAGTTTTCGAAATCAATAAATGACAGGTCTGAAACAAGAAAACAGCAATCATGATTCGCCAATCAGTTTTAGATCGTAAGTTTGAAATCGCACCCCCACCCAACCCCAAAACAAAAGAACCAAACAAATAAACACACACACATACACACACGCACACATGCACACACACTCACACACACAAACACACACACACACACACACACACACACACACACACAAACACACACACAAACACACACACACACACACACGCGCGTGCGCGCGCGCACTTTAAAAACACCACAAAAAATAAACACACACTCACCCATTACATAAAAAATACAAGTCGAAACAAAAAATTTCAAACAAAGTAGAACAATAATGAATAATATGTGAGGCAGCGTGGTGAAATCAATCGCTCGTCAAAATTCAGAAATCGGAGAAACAGGCATTTTTTTGCCGGTTTGCAAATTTTCAATTTGTGGCTGTACCTCTTTTCCGTCCATATAAAAACACATTTCCTTGTGAATTCTTCTCAATAACGTTGATTAAAGGCACAACATATGTCATGTTTCTGTTTTCAAGTACTCTTTAGCCGTTGGAGTTACTAAGCTTTAGAGGCTATTTCCTCGCTAATTTCCTCACTTCCTTCAATAATAATAATAATAATAGATAGCATTTTTATAGCGCATATCCCCGCTCAGCAGCAGGCTCTATGCGCTTTACACTATATTATTACCCCAGCAACCATATAACACTCTAAAACATTCTCAGCTTCCCGGGAAGCATACAGTGCAAGCAGCCGATTAAGCCCTCAAACACTAACAAACTGACAAGATCTTTCGCTGTCTATAGCCGGGTACCCATTCCCACCTGGGTGAAGTGAGGAAAATTCGTGTAAAGTGCCTTTCCCAAGGACACAACGTCGGGCCCTTGACGGGATTCGAACCCACGACCTTACGGTTGCGAGTCCGAGAGCCTAACCACTAGGCTACCGACGCCACAATAGCAAATATCTTGAGTTTTATTCAAGATAGATGGATCTATTTCATTAAAAGCAAGGTGAAAAATCGGCTTTCAGATGGTACCAATAACTCCACATGCCCAAAAATTGACGAGCGTCTGATTCCACCGCGTCGTAACGCATATAGCATTATTCTAGTATTCCCCGTCACTGATCTGTAGAAGCTTATTTGGTGAGTTATTTTTCGTTTACTTCTGCCTCTTTTATTTTCTATTTTCCCGGAGAGAGCAAGATGATCGAGGCACATTTCTTTTTATATCTTTTCATCAAAATTATAAAAAGATTTCAGGGTGAAAGGTGAATTGGGGGTGATGAGGAGGGAGGGACCGACATTTTTAACGGTTTAGGCTTCCCGGGTCCAGGTCAAAACGGGATGGAGAAAGGTGGCTGGAGTGAGAACGGGACTCGAGAGAAGGGAAGAAGGGAGGGAGAGAGAGCTAGCGAGCAAGAGAGAGAGAGAGAGAGAGAGAGAGAGAGAGAGAGAGAGAGAGAGAGAGAGAGAGAGAGAGTGAGTGAGAGAGACAATGTATGCGTGCGGGTGTCTTAGTGAATATATATATGTGTATGTGTGTGTGTGTGTGTGTGTGTATGTGTGTGTGTGTGCGCGTATGTACATACGTGTGTTTGTATGTTTGTGTGTGTGTGTTTGTGTGTGTGTGTGAGAGAGAAAGAGAGAGAGAGAGAGAGAGGGAGAGAGAGAGAGAGAGAGAGAGAGAGAGAGAGAGAGAGAGAGAGAGAGAGAGAGAGAGAGAGAGAGAGATAGGGACAGAAAATGCGACACACATTGTCGAATTGAAGGTACATGTACTAACCTCGAAGTGTAAGGCTCCCGGGTTTGATTCCCACTCGGTCCGTCTGGCACGTTACAGCTGTCTGCCTTCCGTGACGCAGGCTCTGGCTTTTCATCGATAAACCTTAAAAATATATTTGACAACTTAATAGACTGAGCTGGAAAGTAGAGTTGATTTCATGTATTATCATTCTAATGTTCTATTGCCCTATAGCTCTACCTATATAGTTATTTTATATACAAAATTTGTACATACATCCCCTCTCTTACTCTTTCCATCAGCCTATACCCCTCCCTCCACTCACTCTCTCTTTCTCTATTTCTCTCTCTCTCGCTCTGTGTGTGTGTTTGTTTGTGTTTTGTGTGTGTGTATATGTGTATGTTTTTATGTGTATGAGTGTGTGTGTTTGTATATGAATGTGTGTGAGAAAAGGAAAGACATAGAGGGAGAGAGAGAGAGAGAGAGAGAGAGAGAGAGAGAGAGAGAGAGAGAGAGAGAGAGAGAGAGAGAGAGAGAGATAGAGAGAGAGAGAGAGAGAGAGAGAGAGAGAGAGAGAGAGAGAGAGCGGGAGAGAGGGTGGTAGGGAGAGGCTCTTCTGAAATTGTAGAAAGACAAAGCCCTTGAATGCAATGTTGCAGCTCAGCGAACAAAAGCAATGCAATCGACGGGTTGTGAACTTAGGCGGGAGATGATGGTAAATCGTTTCTATTCACCAGTGGGATAATTCCTTTTATTTTGATACTCTTTGTCGGGGTCAAGCCATTTTGGAAGTGATCAATTGAGCATCCAGTCAAGTGTCAACTTCCATTATTACCGCTTTGACGTCCACCGAGGTCGGTTGACTTCTCAACGGCTCTGCGTTTTGCTAAGTTTTGGGCGATTCTATGTGAGATTGTGCTTTCTGTTACCTTTCTATTGGAATCATCAGGTTTGTGCTTAGTATTCTGTGTCTCTTACAGGTAATTCTGCTTCTTATTTGCTTTTAGTGTCGAATTGTTGCCTTTTTTTTCGCTGCGAAGCTCCAACCTTCGTTCACCTGTTTTCAACATGGCGAGCATGCTCGATTCAAACGGACCGCCACTCTGTTTCATTGTGAACAGGGACATTCGTTCTTCAGACACGGACCCGATTAGAGGCATAGAAGTTTGTAGAGCTATGGAGGATGTGTGCGGGGAGGGACAAGTAATTGGGGCGCAGAAATGGTATGGTGCTTGGAGACTTTATACTAAATCTAGGTGTGCGAAGAATGACATTCTCTTGAATGGGCTATCTTTACGCGGGACCAACGTTATGGCCCATGAGAGGTTCCCTCTCGGTAGCGCACAAGAATTTTAAAACATGATACTAGGGAACGCCCCGTTGTCAGTGGCGAACTCTGAATTTCAGACCGCCTTGCGTTCAATTGGGATTATCCCACTGAGCGACATGAAAGACGAACAATATAGAGACAAGGAGGGGAGATTGACATCATATAAAACAGGTAGACGTTTTGTGTACATCTCGCCTCAAACTTCTTCCCTGCCATTGTCATTAAAAGATGGTGGTGTTTTCAATGCGTCTATCTATTATAAGGGCAGGCAACAACCCGGATCCAAGGAACCGGCGAAAACCAGGGAGAGTGTACACTATGTCCGTGACGGGAACGGAGGAGGGGACGGAGAGGTGGACAACGCTCTGTCAGCCAACGTTGTTCCCGTACCGCGATCCCGATCACTGTCTGTGACAACAAGAGGTAAGCTCAGACAAACCATGATTTTGCTTGATTATTATAAAAGTATTATCAATTATCTGTAGAGGAGTTAACAGCCCCTAAACGCAAACTATTCTTTAAAATTGATCAAGGGCTATGATGCAATGTGATCGGATTTTGAATCATGGATAGCGGAATTGAAAGAAATTTGCGAGTCGCGTCGATTAATTGTCGAGGTCTAAATAACAAACTAAAGGGAAAAACTATTTTCCGTCAGTGTACAAAATTTGATATAGTTTGTCTTCAAGAAACGTATATCACAGAGAAAACAGCAAGGGAATGGGAATTAGACTGGAAAGGAGAATTCTTTTTTGCTGAAGGAACACAGAGAAGCAAAGGACAAGTTAGTCTTGTTAATTACAGATCAAATTATGAAAACCTTAAAATAGTTATTAAAACAGACAGAATACTGGGGTTGAAGTTCTCTGTGAATGATCAAATTGTTCAAATAGTAAATGTGAGGCGTGGTGACAAAATGAGTTACTTCTCGCAGTCCACAAATGGAGATTTTTGCCAAAAATTGACACTAGGGTCAAATTTGTAGATTTTCTATTGAAGCCATATTCTTTAGCTATAACATACCTTTTATTTGATACTTATAAATATTGTAAAAACTTCACCTATAAGTGTGATGGATCTATTTCCTTAAGGCCTGAATCCGAGAAGTAACTCATTTTGTCAGCACGCTTCACAAATGTATACGGCCCAGTTATCACATCTGAAAAATTAAAATCCTTTGATCTGCTTTATTCTGTTTTGAACAATGGTGATGCAGACCATATGATTATCTGCGGGGATTTTAATGCTGTATTGAACAACACCCTTGACATTATTACTGGAGAACCGCATACTGTGGTTGTGAATAGATAATTTATCGACTGGGTCCAAAACTGTTACCTTAGGGACACATGGCGTTCGTTACATGGTGAGGAAAAAGACTTTACATGGTCAAGACCCACCCCATTCATTGCACGTCGTCTCGACTACATATTCTGTAATGAGGAATTTTTACCACAAGTAGTAGAAAGTAGCCACGAAATTCTCTACGGCCCGGGTCATAAAGGAGTGGTAACTGTTTTTAGAGCGGATACATTTAAAAGAGGACAATCGTTTTGGAAATTCAATAATTCGCTATTATATGATAAGGAATTTGTCTGTGTCATGAACCAATGTATTGATGATTTTTTATGGCAGAAAAAGTTCTGGAACCGAAAGGCTAAGGAGAAGATTAAAAGAACAGTCATTTGCAAGTCTGTAGAAGAGGATGGGTTAGGTATTATCAGGGTGCGTGATCAACAAAAAGTGTTCTTATTGAAATGGATGAAGCTTCTAGCAATAAGCAAAGGTTTAGCTGAGGACGAGTTGCAATTACAGACATCATTTTCAATCAACTTGGTGGCCTAAAGTACTTTTTTAAAAGCAACTATTAACCCTAAACATCTGATCAAGCCAGCTGGGGCATCTACATTTTGGATAGCGGTCATGACAGCATGGCTTGAAGTACAAAGTTAGATGATACGCAGCTCAAACAAGTGAATGACATTTTTACGCAGCCTCTTTTCAACAACAAAAAGATACGGTACAAAGGTAATTCACTTTTTCTGAAATATTGGATGAGAAGAGGAATAAAAAACATTTACCAGGTTTATAACAGGGGACGGATGAAAACAAAAGAAGAAATGAAACACACAATAGGAAATTAAGCAGGCTTTGGCTTTGGTTATTATATTATAATTAATGGCCTACCAAAATCATGGACAGAGCTACTGAACCAGAACAACACACTGGAACACAGTCAGTGTGCAGCAGTTGTGTGCGAAAGAATTAGTGCTGAAAGTCTTCAGGTACTTTGTAGCAACAATCAGGAGTTACGACGAATTGTCTTGGGGCGGGAGAAGGTTCAGGTATGCGGTAAGAACTTTTGGTTGAAAAAGCTTGGAATGGACATAGCAGATAGGTATAGTTTAGCACATATGGCCACGCAAGAATCTCGTCTTCGCCTTCTACATTTTAAAATACTTCACAATATATTCCCCACAAATATCTTTTTGATTAGGATGGGCATAAAATCTTCAGAACTGTGTGAATACTGTGGTGTATGTTTATCCACTGCTCACGATTAAGGGGTTTTTGGAATCATGTGTTTCAGCTGATCTTCCAAATCACAAATACACATTTTCCGATGACAGACGCCAATATTCTACTCGGCGTGAAAAAGGAGGGTGGAGTAAATAATAGTGTAGTAAAAACAGCAAATCATGTTATACTGATTGCAAAAATGTGCGTCAGTAAAATGAGGTGTGGTGATGTAAAGTATATTTTCATATTGTTTGATATCGAATTTGTACTTAGGAAAAAGTTTCTGTATTATTTAATATCACATATTGCACTCTATTTAAAGCAAAACACAATGCATATCGATAACAACTTTTTTCTATTATTTTCCAGGTTCTAGCGGCGACCTTATTTCCGTGTGTCTATATCCATGTTCTTGTTTCAAGGAGCTGTACGTTGGGTTCATCGATAGCTCGTGTGGTGGGGGGAGAACATTGTTTTAATATGCTGCTTGCATGCAGCACAGCACAAATAATCTGAACGAAAGGAAAAGGTAATGTACGTTTAGTTACATAGTATTATATAATGGCATTGTATTATAACACTGTTCAATACCCCTTTAGACATAGTTAATGGACGCCTTTTGTTTGGGAAAAAAGATGGCAAGTCTCTATAGTATAGCCATTCCCTCAGCACCCTGTTCACCATATTATAATAAACTCTCACTTTATATGCATACATGATAGGTATATGTCTCTCTCTTTATTCTCTTCTTTCCAATCCGCATACTTTTCTCTGTGTCATTCTATCTTCTTCTGTCTCAATATGGCTATCTACCTATCGGTTTACCTTCTCCAGACCTATAACTTCAAATCATCGCCGTCATATTCATTTCCCGCCACTAAGCCTCTCCTATCTCGCCACCCCCCCCCCTACTGTCCCTCCCGATCTCTCTTTCTCTCTCACGATTTTCTCTCTCTCTCTCTCTCTCTCTCTCTCTCTCTCTCTCTCTCTCTATCTATCTATCTATCTATCTATCAATCTCCCGCTTGCTCTCTAGTCATTTCTAACCACTAAAACACATTCAGCTAGCATCTCCACAAAATTGGCTTGTTAAATGTAGGAATTGCGTCCAACGTTAGCAATGGAACTATACCAATATTGGACGAGACTGGGAGGATTCAGACATAGGGTACTTGATTTGGGAGTTTGAGGTCGCTCCCCCTGAGGCGAGGGGATACAATATTCTGTGTAAATTGTGCCCTCTCGACTCGGGTTCGATAATCCTGTGTCAGAATCTCTCCAAGCTCAATTGGACTCGAAAAGAATACTCTGGGCAAAGGATCAGGGAGTAGAATGCTGCACTTTTAAAGATCACAATCTGCCAACTTGCTTTCTACAACCCGCTTACAAATACCCCAATATACCTGCCTCTATACTGTCTTCCCATTTTGCTCCATTCTACACTTGTCTTGGCCCGATAGAATAGGCTAACACTAACGATGTCACCTTAACAGAGACTGAGCCCACCATTTCGGAACTTCATGGTGACCGTAAAGATGGTTCCAGTAAGGAACGGGATAGAGGGTGCCCACGTCCCTCGTGACTCATTGGAGCAGAGGAAGATAGGACTAACGCTAACATTACTTAAACGCAATCCCTCCTCATCACTCATCACCACTATTAATTCTAAAATCATCACCACTCTCAGATCAATGACTTACATCTATAATCCTGGAATCTATATCGCTATTACAGTTAATTTTTATACTAAGTATGCATGTAATACACTATTGGACACAATCATAAAAAAACATGAACTTTTTTCTACTAATCAGATGGCGTCAATCTCATATAAATGGGCAAGGGGAAAAAGTGTCACATCCATAGAGCAGAAATGACAAGGACAATGATAACAATATTATGCAATAGTGGTAGTGATACTACTACTACTACTACTACTACTACTACTACTACTACTACTACTACTACTACTACTACTACTACTACTACTAAAAATAATATTAATAATGAGGATGATAATGATGTGATGATGATGAGATGATGATTCTGATTATATTATTTTGCTTTTAAATTAATGACAATAATACAACAAATCAACACCAAAAGCAAAAACAAAAACAACAACGATAATAAGAATTACAACAACAACAAGCAACAACAACTGGAAATAATCAAACACCGTATACAAACCTTCCTTTGACAAGGGCCATCGTCAATGAAATAAACTGCTCTTTAACCCTCAGCTCTCGACCTCTCATAACTTTCTCTGTGGGCTCTTCCAATGATATACCGAGATTTTTTATGTCATAGTCAAAGAGGTAGGCAACATCCAATCCATGTGGCATACCTTTCGCACTTGGTGATGTCCTTAAAAACCCAGGATAATGATCAAAATACAGTAACCGAGGCCTAGAACGGGCCCCAGGACCAGATGCCGCCTTTAAGAAGTCGAACGTAGGGAGCTGAAAATACATATCTGTTATGACTTCGCGAACAGCATTTTCGAACGTTCCTCGCCTTTCATACCAAGAGACAATCTTTTTTCCAGATTCTTTGGAACATCCTCGTTTTTCAAAGTAGACATCAAGCATAAAATCAAGTGATTTTTTATACGCCTTCTCTTTCTCTTCATCTGCCATCGAATCATTCGCGTAAACCATTGCCTTAGTAGTAGCAATATACATATCGCCCATACTTTGTTCATTATTGTTTATCCCACAAATGTATGTCCTGTCATAAAAGCAGACAGATTCTAAATAAGACTGGTCTTGCAAAAGTTTCTTTGGATCGTTTGGGATGAGCATTCTGTCTACACGAGGGGAGAAAATGAAGGAGGTCATATTGAAAGGGACGTATTTCACGAACGCTTCTTCTGGTTTTTCTCGTAGACAGCCTACAACCTTCCGAATTCCATCAACATCCAAACTATCATCAGTTGACCCAGACCAACAGCCCACTGTAGCCGCAAACTTCAAAACGTCTTGGAGAGGTGAGGATAAGTCTCTGGAGATAAAAGTCGCGCTCCCACTTTGAGTCCAAACTTTAGTAAACAAACCCTTCCCGAAAGGAGATATTGAGAGAATGTGGGCGGCTGCCGCCCCTGCTGACTCCCCAGAGAGTGTGACGTCATCGGGGTCACCGCCAAAAGAAGCAATGTGACGTTGTACCCACCGGAGAGCAAGGACCTGGTCCCACAGTCCGTAGTTTCCCAGACTCGTTTCGTCACCTGAGCTCAGGAAGCCCAAAATGCCCAGCCTGTAGTTGATCGTGACCACAATGACATCATCATACATCTTTACCCAGGTGCCAGGAATAAAGTGGCTGGCAGCACCAACCATAAATCCCCCACCGTGGATGTAGAAGAATACTTTTTTCTTCGGTTGATTTTCTTGGGGTAACTCTTTCATGTAGATGTCGAGGGTCAAACAGTCTTCAACTCCTTGACTCCTGCCAAACAACAAGGCTTCGGGTTGAATGCATGGCACGGACTCTCGTGTGGCGTCGAAAACGCCGTCTATGGACACAGAGAGAAAAAACAAAATCAATGTATTGGTGTCATGAAATTGTCACACATCATCCTGCAAATAAAGTGCGGAGAGGTTATTAGCAGAAATAAAACACGTTATAATATGTGTATATATTATATAACATTCTATCTATCTATCTATCTATCTATCTATCTATCTATCTATCTATCTATCTATCTATATTATATAATGTATATGACACTGAACCTTCGAAATACGATCGGACTCACTTTACTCCAAAAAAAAAAAAAAAGACAAAGAAGAAAGAAAAAAACAACAACAACCCCAGCCCCTCTATTTTTTCGGGGTCACCTCTATTTTTTCGGTGTCAAATTCAGACACCCATCTGAGGTCTTCATTCTCTGTGGAGCCATATTTGGGTTGTAATGAGGTTAGGGGCTAAATGTTTTAACTTACTTAAGAATGAAAGGGCGGCCGGGGGGAGGGGGGGTAGGGCGGGGGTTAAATTGACTTTTACACTGCACAGTGTTTAGTAGCAAAAAAGAAGAAGAATAACTGAATCAGTTGTCGCAAACAAGCCGAGAGGACATCATTCAAATGTGAGGCAGCGTGGTGGAATCAGGCTCTCGTCAAATTTTGGGCATGTAGAGTTATTGGTTTAATTCTAAAGCTTGTTCACTTGTCTTTATTTGGACGAAAAAAATTATCCATTTGTCTTGAATACAAGTCGAGATATTTGCGAAAGAAGGAGATGGGGTAATCTGTTTTCAGTGGTAAAATTAATGAGAAAATGCACGCCAAAGATTTGTTATTTCCTTAGCTTAAGAGTCCGAAAAAATGCAAGTTTCTGCGCTTTGATTATTTTGACGAGAGCCTGATTCCACCATGTTGCCTCACAAATACGACGTGTCAAAATCCAATTTCGACTTCCATGGAAACCAGTTTGCAACACAGGATAGAATAATCTTATTATAAACATAGTATGTAATTATTGAGGCATTTCAGCATTTTGTAATGAACGAGATAGTCTCACTGATTTTATAATGTAGGACTTGGTTATTTTTACATCTTCATAGACACAATTTAGATTATTTAGGAGGCAGACCGGCTGACAGGATATAACGTCCCAATAGAAAGACAATATAGATATTCGATAAAGATTATCCCCATCCAGGAATGGAACTATAATGAAGCTCTTCTGTGCGCCAAGCCACAGACGCCAATAAGTTTAACTTAAGTAAGCAATTTTAAAAAATAGAAATTACCAAAACAACAAAATTACTTTGATAACTGTGTTCATCAATATATTAGACCCAATGAAGATATTAAAAAGCCAAACAGTTACTAACAAATGCTTTACAAGACATGTTACCTAATTTGTCTAGAGCCTTAGGTTTCTGAAACCTCAACTCTCTAATTGGTGGCTGGGCGTAGGGTACTCCACGAAAGGCGTGATAATAATCATCCCCATCTTTTTCTTGGATTTTGGTTCCTTCTATAGAACCGAACGAAGATTTAACAACAACAGTAGAGTCTCCCACAACACATTGGACTATACAACAAACGGCGGCACATAGTGCTGGGTGTGAAAACATGTTGACCGCGGCGGCTCCAGCGAAGCAGGCACGATAATGGTCAGTCGATTAGGGTCAAGTGACGACTAACAGGCTGTGACACCGACGGGTTCCTTTTTATAACAGCAAGATTTCCACTTCACGGACACTGGGTTTTTTTTTCTTTCTTTCGCTTGTGAGTATATTATTAAAATTTATGCTGCCAGCTGGCTCACCCGCTCCTTTAACTTTTAGACTGGAAATGACAATTTAATGAATAGAATACATATAACATAATATACTAATCTTATGTCAACAACAACAAAAACAGCAACAGCAACAGTAACAATAACAACAACAAAATATCACTAACAGTAGAACAAAACACACAGATAAACATAATCACGCGTATAAACAATAAGAGAAAAAGTTGCAGTAACAATCATCATTTTTTTCTTTTTTTAAAATTTGGTAAACGGCGCTTGCAACTGCGTAAAATCATATGAGCGCTCAGGACACATTAAACATTTTCAGTTGATGGGAAATATTGAATTTTCCCCGGGGTAGCGGCCGAAGCCTACTCTTATCGATTTTAAACCACAAGGAGATCTTAACGTGAGCAACTTGCATACGGGACCTCCGCGAGGTTTAGCCCTTGTCCCAGAAGGATAGGTGTAGATCTTTCCTACCAGATGATCAGGGATGTGGATGAAAGACGGCAGTAAGAAGGAACCAAGGAGTAGAAGTAAAAAGGCTGCAGAAAGAGTCAGACGCCCAGAGGAGGGGAGGGAAAGGACGTGAGGGGGTGTAGGTAGAAAGTAGAGACGAAAGCAGACAACAGAACATTGTTAGAGAGCAGGAAAGGAGGTGAAAAGAGACACTTTTAGAGAAGAATATTTTTCCGTCGCTACACGGGACCTTTGAACGAGAGCATTTAAAATTTTAAGTAAATGTCACCAGCAAAGTTCTAGATCAAAGCAAAACCAGAAATAACAGAGCCATTAGCAGTAAGAGCAGTAACAACATCAGCGGCTACATCAACAGCCACTTCAACAGCAATACCAGCAGCAACAATAGTAAATACAACTACAAAAGTAATAACAAAAAAAAACCCACACACAAACCCGCACATACACCCAAAAGTAGAAAACACACTCACACAAACACACACAAACACACACATACACACACACACACACACATATACACACACATACACACACACACACACACATATATATATATATATATATATGTGCAAACAAATGGTCTGAATTGGGAACAAAGTAGCTTTTCTTCAGCTGCTGTTTCATAGTGCTTCACTCTTCACATACCTGTAGGATTCATATCGGGGCTAATTACTGGTGACAACTCCAACGCTAATATGATTTGGTTTTTCCTAGAATTGTCTAGTGGCATTGGCCCTGTGAGAAACTTCTTTCCTATGCATAAAGATGTCTACTTGAATGACACCTTGACGAAAATAAGGGTAAGACATGACGTTCCAGCACTAATTGCGTCCATTAAACCAATCAATCCGGTGATTCTCATGAGGGCGGTTTTGTTAGTTCTACCCCAGACCTCTCAAAACCATGGCAGTTTCGTGGCCTCTGCTCCACACTGACAGATGATTATGTCCAAAATGTAGCGAACACAGTCTTTGTGTAAAAAATGCTTCGTGGTCGACACAGAAAAATTAACATTTGATATTCAGTACATGTCCATTCCATCAAAGTTAATGTAAGTCAGAACGCACTTTTGCGTTTCTTTAATTTCGAATAATTTTGCCAAGCCTGAGTTTTTGAAGTCAACTTAGAGTGACCATATCTAGGGCGTCTCTTAACATAGATGGAGCGATTATATGGTGATTTTCATTGTCAAATTTCTTTTGGACGCCACTATATGTTATATAAATATATAT